GGCAGGGGGGTTGGACTAGATAACCCACAGAGGTCCCTTCCAACCCCTACTATTCTGTGATTCTGTGATTCTGTGTCTTTCACACGTCTATCTCGCACCGTGTCACAGCCTCTCTCTTGTTGTTTCGAACGGCCTGGATTAAAAGTTGCAGGTGGAGCTGTGCCTGGGTTTCTACTTCCCACCTAACTGTCTTCTACAATCATTTTCTTTTCCCTGTCGACACACGCAGGCGTCTGACAAGGCTAGGGATGTCTAGCACAACACAGCACGCTACTCCACGGCACCACAACTAAAGCAGAAGTGAGATGAGAACGCCCATCGCCGCCTGCAAACCCTCCGAGTATTTTCACATGCTACTCCAGCATACGCCTGAGTTATAGTTATGCCCCTAATATTTTGGTCCCCCAAACTTCCAAAGTGTTACTTCCAGAGCTAATTAGGGATTTGGAGCAACATTAAAAAACAGGTTACCTTGTAGCCTGCGTCTCCATGCCAGGTACAAAACCAGCACGTTGCTCCACAAAGCAAAATGAAGGCAGCCACTGAACTCAAAGCAGTTTCCCCCTCTGGCAACAAAACGGAGGGTCCATCTGGTACGTCGCCTGTCCGAGCCAGATCAAATTAAACTAGCTTTGTCTCGCAGTAAATTAACACCACTGCCCATTTCAACATTTTACAGAAGCAGCCACTTCTGCCTAAACTTTCCAGTAAGCGTTCAGCTGACGGGCTGTTCCTCGCCAGACTCAGTCCCACCAAAGAAAGTTTTTGCTGCAACTCATGTTAAGGGGTGGGAAATTTAAAAAAAAAAAATGTTAGTAGCCTTTACTGCCAGGCTACATTTTAGCCAGAATGAGAACTCTTACCTCAGAAATCTCTCCTTACACGTCTAAATTCTAAGGACAGATACGCTCAGCACCGGAGAAAGCCACATGAAGCTAGCACAAAGATCTTCCTTTGGCATTGGTGAACTACTCTACCAGCTCCTTCTTCTGAAGGTGGAAGCAGGAGAAAAAGAAAGAACCACAACACCACTCCAACTCAGAAAAATAGGATTCAGCGAGACCTGGACAGGCTGGAGAGTTGGGTGGAGAGGAACCTGATGAAGTTCAACAAGGGCAAGTGCAGGTTCCTGCACCTGGGGAGGAACAACCCCATGCACCAGTACAGGCTTGGGCTGACCTGCTGGAGAGCAGCTCTGCGGAGAGGGACCTGGGAGTGCTGGTGGATGACAGGTTGACCATGAGCCAGCAGTGTGCCCTGGCTGCCAAGAAGGCCAATGGGATCCTGGGATGCATTAAGAGGAGTGTGGCCAGCAGGTCGAGGGAGGTTCTCCTCCCCCTCTACTCTGCCCTAGTGAGGCCCCATCTGCAGTACTGTGTCCAGTTCTGGGCTCCCCAGTTCAAGAAAGATGAGGAGCTACTGGAGAGAGTCCAGCAGAGGGCTACGAGGATGAGGAGGAGACTGGAACATCTCCCCTACGAGGAGAGGCTGAGGGAGCTGGGCTTGTTCAGCCTGGAGATATCTGAAGGTGGGTGTCAGGAGGACGGGGCCAGGATGAGGGGCAATGGGCACAAACTGAAGCAGAGGAAGTTCCACCTGAACACGAGGAAGAACTTCTTCCCTCTGAGGGTGCCGGAGCCCTGGCCCAGGCTGCCCACGGAGGTTGTGGAGTCTCCTTCTCTGGAGATATTCAAGGCCCGCCTGGACACGGTCCTGTGCAGCCTGCTGTAGGTGACCCTGCTTGGGCAGGGGGTTGGACTAGATGACCCACAGAGGTCCCTTCCAACCCCTAACATTCTGCAGTTCTGTGATGCAGTATCTTTCAGGTCCAACACGAATTACTTGGTGAGGTCATGAAGCTGAGACGTGATGTCCCGTACGGACCGTACACGAGGACTTGAGGACAAGAGATGGACCCAGACGCGGAACGCTGCGCTAGCTGCCAGGAGGTTACAGACAAGCCCTCACCTCGGATCTGCGCTGCTTTTCTTACCCATCTCCGTTTCCCCCTGTAACGAACACGACAACTTTCTCTCCCCTCGCCGTTCAAGCACGCGCTCGGCAGGAAGCGTACGCTACTCTTCCTCACTCTCTGTCCTGCACGAGGAGACCAGCACTCATGCAAACCTTCTTCTACAAAAGTCTGTAAACCAAAAACCAGCCACGACTGCAGGAGGGAAAAGAGAACGGAGGCGTTTGTACCACCTCCAGGCCCCTCCGCCTAGCCCTGCTGAAGGAGTTTCTTTCGGCTTGTTAAGCTAATGGCTGTTTACCTGCCCAGCAATAAAGCCTGAACATCAGCTTGTGGAGGTGGCAGTCGATGAAGCTGGGCTCACCCCACCGAAACTGCTCGCCGCAGGTGAGACAGTGACCTCATGGTGCGAGACGTGAACATGAGACCCACCAGGGAGACCTGCAGCACAGCCACGCGTCTGAAGGCCAAGACTGCGGTGCAGAACTGCTCCAAGAGAGGAGCGAGCGGAGCCAGAAAACTCACCCTGGAGACAGGCGACCGGTTCTTCGTCTCCAGAGGAGACCAGGCGCGTTTCGCCAGCAGCTCTCCCGTCTCAGCTCCGTAAAGCACATCAGCGCTTTCTGTGAAGATCAGCTCTCCACCAACCGCCATCACCAAGCCAGAAATCGCTCAGCAGAATTAACCCAGCAGGCCTTAACACCAAATGAGCTGCGTTTAGCATCTCATTTTTCTGTAGCTACCACCAGTGTCAAACAATCAAAGGAGAACAGTAAGTCTGTCGAGAAAAACACAGCCTCTGGCTTTTCACAGCTTTCAAGTACGATCCCCAGGGCAGCAGAAGCCTGAAGCGATGTCCAAGCCTGCCAGCACCAAGTTCTTCTCATCCCAACCCGTCTGCATTCGACTCTGGAGTTTCATCGTAGCACCTGCAAGACAACCTGATGCACAGCCCCACGCGATCACCTCCTTCCCTCAGGACCACAGCTCCGACGTGACCTCTCCTTCCATCCCTCCCCCTCTGAAGCATCTAAATCCATTGCTTTCCCACCTTTTGGAAGCTCGTTACTCCACGGAAATGCTACCTTTGACTGCCGGAATAAAGAGCGTTCAATATGAATAATCAAGTGCTGTTATCTGCTTGACGGAGGGCAGGCTATTGGCAGGCAAGAGTCCCTCTGATTCGCACAGGCCACAAAAAAGCACACCTGGAACTGAGGAGACTGCTGCTCAGAAGTCTTTGATGCCTGCTGAGGTACTGTATTTTTTTTTTTCCTCAGAAGCGTTTTATCAAATTATCATCAAGGATAAGCAGACTACCGAAGGGGAAGTCTAGCAGTCAAGTGACTTCAACAAGCATTTCCTTTGCTTTTCCATTGGGAAAGACAGGTTAGACCTTTATAAACGAGGTATCTTGGCTTTTTTGGAAAGGATTGTGATGACTGAGAGCGTGGCCTTGCTTCCCCTTAAAGCACTGCAGAAAAAGCCCAGCGCTCCACGGAGTTCCTTCAGCGCACACCAGCGGCTCCGAACACACGGATTTAAGAACATCTCAAACTGTATTTGAGCAACTGGTTGCAGACCAAGATCTCCCAGAATCCCAGCATGGTCGGGGTCGGAAGGGCCCTCTGTGGGTCACCCAGCCCAACCCCCTGCCGAAGCAGGGTCACTCACCCACAGCAGGCTACCCAGGACCGCATCCAGGCGGGGTTTGAATATCTCCAGGGAAGGAGACTCTGCACATGAAGTCCTCCTAAATCCACGACCATTCTCCTTACCATGAGAAAAAGGCCTTAAAAGGGGCAGATTTTCAGCCATATCACCTTTTATGTGTTTCAGAACACTAAATGCCCAGCGCTGGGGTTATCAGAAGTCGTTACAACAGCGGCTGGCACCAGCCGAGCACCAACACCCACACTGGTGTTTAACCAAAAGGTGCGCCGGGTGGCCCGGGGCAATCTCACCAATAACACCAGACAAAGCCCCGAAGAAAACCCGGTCTCACTGCACACCGCTTCCACCGCATGAATCAGCGCCCATACCTTTTTTTTTTTCTTCCTTTCTTTTAACCTTTGAAAATGGGCGTCGGGTTCAAATGGGTGCCCCTGAACCAGGCGCTGGCTGCAGGGCGCTCAG